ATTCAGGTTTTAGAGTATTTCAGATTTTGGATCTCAGGATTAGAGATGGTCAGCCTGTTAATATGTTAGTCATGACTTTCTCCCTAAATACTTGCAAGGCTGAGGCTACAGATGGGTGGTAAAGCCCTTGCCTGGTATGTGCAAGGTCCTGGGTTTAATCCCCAGCAAAACACACACACATTTACACTGAAAACATTTTTTCAAATGACATTCAGATAACCAAGAAAATGTGAATCTAACCTATGCATCAAAACAACCAATTCAGTAGGTATTATAATGAAAATTGTCTCCTTAAATATAAAATATGGTGCATATATTTTAAATTCTCTTTTCTTACATGTGACATATGGTTGGAAATGAATAGTCCACATTCAAGGAATCCTTTGCTCTCTGTTTTGTTGTTGTTGCATTTTGTTTGTTTGTTTTTTGTTGTTTGGCTTTTTAAGCCAGGATTTTCATTAATGAGTTTAGACTACCCTTGAACTCACTTTGTAGCCTAGGTTGGCCTCGAATAACAGCCATCCTCCTGCCTCAGCCTCCCAAGCGCTGGGATTACAGACGTGCACCATCAAACCCAGCTTATGATCTCTCTTTGTCTCTGTTAAATACTGAAAAATGACATGAAAAATGGTTTTTAATCATCTACTCCTGAGCCATTACCTAAAAATGAGGTGGTACAGTTATCTTCTTGCTTTTTTGCATTACTTTGCAATAACTATTCTAAGCCCTAGGAAATCTCTAGCCATGAAGGTAATCTCTTATTTTGAATAACTCTATGCTGTTGTTTAAGATGAAAAATGGCTATTGCTGCACTATAGTTTAGCAATTAAATCACAGTTCTTAGAGCAGAACAGAAAGGGATCAGATATTCAGGATTATCCGATCTTCTCATTTTAAGGTAAGAGATCTGAGGCACAAAGAGCTTTAAAAAATGGTCTCTGGTCAAAACTGATGTAAAATCTAGGAATAAGCCCCATTAGGAAGACAGAGTCATGCTTCAAGTCAAGCTTTACTACTATACTAAATTAATTGCATCTTAGTAACATTCAACTAGCCTTTGCACACACACTAAAGAAAATAATAATCTGACTCTTAATCACCTAAGGAGGGCTCAGCAGGAGCTCTGTGATAAATAAGCTGAGCCACAGAACTCCAAACAGTTCCACAGGTCATTTTCATTAAAATGAGCTTTCTGTGCCATTTCATAATTCTCTCTGACTTTGCTTTGGTTTTGTTTTCCCTTCACTGGTCCCATGTGCACACCACTCCAAACAAGCTGCAATGGGGCAGAGAAGGGCCATGGTGCCCATAAACAGGAAGAAAGAGCTGGATGGATGACTCAGGCATCAAAAGCACAACCACAGTTCAGAAATGAGCAGATTTATGAAACAAAAGCAAAACCAACAGAAATAGCAAACCTTTGCAGAAAGTATCAGGTCTTTGCTCTGGAAAATATTCCTTGGAAAGCCTGACACTTGGCTTGACAAAAAGAGTTCAGAGGAGTGGATCACTGAGGTGCAGGACCCTTGTGCTTCAGTTAGGTCTCTGCTTTTTTTATTTTTGGTACTGGGGATTGAACTCACGACCTTATGCTTGTCAGGCAGACGCTTATGCCACTGAGCTAAATCCCCAGCCCCAGGTCTCTGCTTTGGAGGAAGTGCTGTGGAAAGAAAACTATTAATCTCACCAGAGAGCTCTCTCAGGTTATAATGCTCATGGAGAAAATACCAGAGGGAAAGACCTATATCAGGGCCCATGCTCCCCATGTGCTGCCCCAGTAGGTCCTGCCCAGGGCTGTGAGCATAAAGCATACCACAAGCAGTTGGCCTAGGTGGAGTGCTTGGCCCATAGAGGGGTGTGGCTTGGGAGACATTCCCATGGCTCCCTGCCTGATACCTGGGGCCAGTTTAACCTAACCCCTTCAGATGGATTATGCTTCAGATAACTGCATTTTCCCAGGACATAAGAGCTCCAGTTTTTCCTTTTTAAGTCCCAGAGGCTTCTGGGTTAAATTTTCTGAATTTCCAGTCTCCCCAAAATGAATGGCCAGTGCCACCCCTTTGTACTGTTGTGCAAACCCCTTATGCAACCACTTGCATTTGACAGATTCACCTCCTTCGTGGGCCAGCCCACCACATTACCCCAGCCTCCTCCTCACCGGAGAAAGACTGGAAGGACAAGCAGCAAGGCCCATCTCCACCAGCGGGACCCTGCATTCCAAGGCTGTACAACTCTACTCCCTTTACCTTTTTTTTTTTTCTTAAAGCAAAACACACTTAAGATTTTTGTCCCCACACGTTCTATTTCTCTTTCTCCCCAGAAATGGCTCAAACCTAAACCAAGAGAAGCACTCTGGTCCTGTGTGTCCTTGTGGGCCGGAGACTTCTGCAGAGGGCTCTTTGTTTTGCTTTGAGAACACACTGTAGGTGCTCTTCGCTTAGCAGAATGTTGTCATAAATAATTAAAACTGAACTGCACCTGTTCCAAATCAAGCAGCATTTTCCTAGGAAGCCCCCTCAGTCTTCCAACATATTTGTAATCACTGATTCAGATTTGCAAAATGCTCCTTACCCATAATAATGATGTTGTTCTTATTTATTTTGAGACAGGGAGTCCCTGCGGGTTCCTGCACTTTCTGTACTTATTTACAAGACGATTTTAATTGACAGAATCAGTTAACCACCAGGATTTTGACCACTGTTCTACCACTTAAAATTGCATTTAAATAAATCATTGAAGCAGCATCCATTACAGGAGTTGTCAGTGAGTGTAGTTCAGGTTTAAAACAATAGCAAGAGCCACAAATTTAGTGCTTCAACTCTTCCTTTCCAACCATACCACCTAATGCAATTTTTGCCTGTCCATTTTTTTTTGCTTTTTTAATAAAAAACAAACCTGCTAATCTTATTATATCTACAGACTGAACTAAAATCAAAAGGACAAATTACTCCTCTGCCTCCCACTTCCACCAATGAGCAGGAGTTGCAGGAAGTTTCACACGCAAGCTTCCCAGGCACTCCCTGTCCAGATTTGCCTTATATCTGTCTCACATTTATATGCCCCTTACCTCATCTTAGGGACAGACTCATAGGTTTTCTTCATTTTTCTCTGGGCTGGCTTTAGACATTAGTTTTTAAACATTAAAATAAAAAGGCAAAAGCATTTGCAGAACCAAATAATCCTTGAGCCTATGTTCTCATACGTATTAGGCAAGCACTATACCAATGAGATGCATCTTCAGCTTTGTAATAAACTATGCCACAACCTCTAATCATAAAAGCTATTTTTATGATGGTTATATATTTATTCCCTTGCAATTATATGTCTGTTTCTATAATATTTATCTGTATGGATACTTTCATTTTCATAGTTAAAAATAAATATATGAAAATTTTTTAAAAAGAACCAAATAATCCTTTAGAGATGGGGGTGGGCCTTCAGAGAATGGGCTCCAGGGCATCTCCATGGGGTGCAGGCTCATGCAACCACAGAAACAACAGAGTGGGGCTGGTGTGCTCAGTGAGAAAGGGTCCTTTCCCACATCCCACGGCTGTCAGGGAGAACTCGCCTCCGATGGGGCAAGCGAGCAAAGCACACACTCTGTTTCACCTTTGATGCCAGCTTCTCAGATGGCTCCCAGTGATCACCATCATGCTGGCATTTGGGTCTTTGGGTCATCTCCTCCCTAGTGCCCTGCTGAAAATGCTGGAGGGTCGTGCCCATGATTAGGGCACAAAAGGCTGTAACTTCTGTGTTCCTCCATCTCTTCCCTCTTTCTCTTTCTCCCCTTTTACCTCTCTTCCTCTCTCCCTCCCTGTCTCCCTCCCTCCCCCTCCCAGTCCCTCCCTGTCTCTCCCTCCTTTCCCTCCCCCTTCCCTCCCCCCCCCCCCAGCCTTAACTAGAACCTTGATTACACTCCTGGCAGACACCTAGGGACAGAAGCACTTGCTAAGCCATCCCTGGACCCCTGGATTCCCATGGCAACTATGAGATAATAGATGTTGCTGTTTAAGTCTCTACAGCATAGGGCAATTCTTCATATGCAGTAAGATGTAACCAATATGCCCGCTAAGTTCCAAATGCACAAAAGGATTTCGTAATAAGGTTTCCTGAAGTCATCAGATGCTAAATTCTCAAAGCTCGCTCTACATTCAACAATTTAGAGATTCTATATACTGTAACTCTTCAAGATATCCTTCCAACTCAGTCCAAAATCTCTCCCAGATGTCTCATTCTTTTCTCACAGAGCTCACACTACCTCTCCTTGCAGATCTATAGAGCACAAGATCTTCTCATGACTTCACATGCATCAGCATCCCCTGATTGCCAGCTCTACTGTCTGCCTCCCCCTGGACCAAGGCCTCTGTGGCCCTGGCCTCTCCAGTTTCCTCAGAGCGTAGGACACTGCCCAGCACAGAGGTGCTGAATTAACATTGGCTGAGTGGATGGACAGTGATCCAAAGGAACATTCACAAATACCTCCAGGGAGATGCTGTCGATTTCCAAAGCCCAAAACAGCGATGAGACTCAATTACAGGACATGATGATGGGCCCCATAGACGCCTCCAAGATGGAAGTCAGAGGCCTACCTCTGTCATCTTCTAACGCTCTCTGTGGATGAATAACTTTTCACACTCCTGTCTCCAGTCCAGCTCCATTCACTATTACTGAAATCCTACTCACACAAGGCAACTATACTAAAGCGTCTCAAATTCTACATCAGTTTGTTTTACAGGCCATAAAGCATATAGAAAACAGACTCTCAACTTTCGACCCTTTAGTTATTAAACTCTCCTCATATAAAGAACACCACAAATGGGGATTGTACTTTAAAATGGCATGCAAGTCCAGGGTAATTTTTTGAATATCAAACATTAACACAATACATTATAATCACAGGTTTTTTCCAAAAATATTTCTTCTGGTCTTGCTAACCTCAGAGGGTTTTCATGAATAAGGAAACAGTTAAAAAAACATAATATTTGAAAGCTTAGCTCTACCTTATAGCCTCCAATGCGATGTTCCTGCTTAAATTCCTTCCCGTTTTTTAGCCACCTCATGGTCGGGGTTGGGTTGCCCCCAGCGGGGCAGCGGAACTTGACCGTGTTGGCTGCAGGGACAGCGTGTAGCCGTTTTTCCATCTTTTCCGTGTTGGTCCAATACGGTGCTCCTGAATTGGAAGACAACGTTTACATTTACATTCATGGGAAATTGCATCTCCATAAGTAAGCGCCAAAGCAGGTAAGCTCATTTTATTGTGTATGGAAAGGGTCTGATATTTTTAAATCTTTTGGATAATATTTATATGAGGAACACATTTTCAGAAGTCTAGTCCAGCTGGCCTCGCTAAAGGTCCCTTGAGGGCCTGCTTATTGGCTTATGCCTATTAACAGGGAAAAAAGCATTTGAGGCACCTTCTTGCTCTCGTTGTTGGTGCCAGAAAATAACTTCATGTCAAATTGTGTTTTAAAATGTTACTTTATACTCCTAGTAAGAACATATGCAATAACAGCAGCTCGGTCCTCTAAACATACATCATTTTAGATCAAAACACCTATCAAATGATCACATGCACACAACAGTAAAAGCAGGCCAGCCTCAAGAGCCTCATCAACTTATCCATCAGTTTTCCTTTAAAGGGAGATCAATACTGTAAATTATCACCTTCATATGACAAGACAATCCAAGGAGCCATCATTAGTTTCCCAGTGCAAATACAAAGCACCCAGTGCAAATACGTCATAGCACCAGACGTACTTTAATTTTTAAGTGAAAAAAAAGTGTTTGCCTCTCCGATGGTGGTTATGTGAACCCCATAATTTTATTTGCATGCCTAAGCTGACAACTTTATAGGTGGCTACCAACTAAATGTCATCCAAAGTCATGCCCACTAAATGGACCTTATAATCATATATACAAGTGATTTAGAAACCCAAGAAAGGAGCTAAGTTTTAAAATCACCAAGTGAAGTACTGTTTTATAAGCAAGAGCCACAGCATCAACCCACAGTATGGCTGCATATTTTTCATGCCTGCTAGTAACAGCTAAAGACTGCTATTGATTGAATGTTGCTTACTTGCCAAACATTGCACTAAGAGCTTTTACATTTTTAACACATTAATCCTCACAACAATCTATTGTAAAGTCACTATTATTATCTCTGTTCACGGGGGGGGGGGGGGGGGAGGTAACTAGGGAACTAAAGAGGACAGTAGTCTGCCAAAATCCACAGAGCTCCAAAGAAATGCGACCAGGATTTGAACCAAATTGGTCTGATGCCAGAGCCCAGTTTTTCGCCTCACTCTCCATCACCACCAAGACCAGCTTCTCTAAAGGGTTAGAACCCACCTCTTCAACTACATGACAGGGAATACTGGAGTGCAGGACAGCAAGCCTGGATCAGAAGCACACATTTCCTCCTTTGTTACTGTCCAGAACTTCCACTGAAACCTTGGTCAGGAACTTAACTGTTCACACGTCCATTTCTATCCTAGCAAACTGGTACTCGCCATCCCTGTACTCTCTTGCCCTAAAGGATCTATTGACAGGCTGCTTCGTACCTCCGCTGCTTTTTTTTTTTTTTTTTTTTTTTTTCATGTCAGACGGGTAATGTGCCGAGGTCGTAACAAGGTTGAAAGGAGGCACATGTCATGCATAGAGCATGAACACCCAATCATCACGCTTATGAACCTGAGGATCATCTCCGCTGCTTTCTGATGAGGGTTAGACTGAGCGACAGCACATACATCCACAAACCACACACAACATGGGCTTCATTTCTGATGCAGGTTTAGAAGTGTCCTCTCCTCCTTAGAGGGTACAGGGGGCCAGTGGGTAGTAACAAGTCTAGCAGCCACACTCCTGTATTACAATTAGAAATTAAAATAATTGCATCCCAAATGCCTACCCCCACCCTTCCTGCTTGATCTTCAAATCTGTGATAAAAGGTGGGGCTGAGATTTCTGTATCTTATTTATCTTTGTGAACACCCAAGTGGCAAGGCGGTAGGATTTACATGGCATCATGTGATGTCACGCCAGTGCAAAGAAGGGCAAAACTATGATCAGTCATGGAGTAGCACAGAGAGAAAAAGAAAGGAGCAAAGTTGAGGGGAGAGAAGATCAGGCTGTGTTCTTTCCTTTGCATCCAGCTGCATTTGCAATGAGCAGGCAACCCAGGTAGCCATTTGGCTTTGGGTTCTTATGTCCAAAAACATCTCTTTTTTTGAGAGTTCACCATGGAGTACTTGACTCCCATTTATCACGAGACTCTCAGGACCTGGCATATACAAAACAATCCTAATAATCTTTCATTTTATAAAAGCCTCTACTTAGAAAACTCCATCCACATCCACTGAAAAGAAACCATTGAGAACACAAAATAAATAATGCGCTTTGTCACTACACAAAGACTTTTATAAATCTGACCTGCATGAAAAGCATACCACATGCTGTCAGGTGTCTGTACTCGTGGCATTTGTTTAAGTAAACACAATAGCCTATTCACATGAATTAGCTAAATATTAATGTAGTAACTCTTTCAAATAGCATCAATTACCACTAAGCTGATCCTTTAAAATGTTTTTCACATGAATGAAATCAACAGTTATGTGCTTACATACCATTAAGCATGATTTTAATGTCCCCCCAAAATTAAAAAAAATAGGACTTGCTTTAGGGAACTAGGAATGTTGATCTTTTCTAATCCCACTGGGCTAAGCCATGGGTGAAGCTGCACCTCGCACAGAGGTTGCCCCTGGCCACGTGCACTGCATAGGCCAGGATCGTGACAAAAGCATATTGGCGACAGGGTCTTTGTCCTGGCACCTTAGGCATAACTTAAAGACTTGGGTGAAAGAATCTTGCTGGAATTTCTGGCAGGTAGCCACTTCCCCGTGGTAAAGTTTCAGTCATTAAAATTGCACTTATAAAAATCTGTTCACCCAAAACAGATATTCCAACCACACATTGGGGTGCAGGCACAATGTCTCAGCCCAGGCTCCAGAGAGCTGAGCTGGGTGGGGACACCATGAAGTCAAATCAGCAATGTAGGAACAGATCCTTTACATAGCTACAGCTTGAAATCGAACTGTAAAACATTCCCTCAAGAACTATGCATGGTGACTTGGCAGAAAGGGCCACAAGACCACACTGTCTGAGGAGCTGTGAGTCTGCTGGTGACCACACCAACCCTCTGCGTAGGCTTGTGTCTGTCTGATCAGTCCACTGTCACAGCAGCCCTTTGTAAGCCTCCCTTTAATATGTCACGCTCACAGAAACCTTTAACAATGGGAGGAAAAAACTAGTATTTTGCATTGGTTCCTTCTAACCCAAAGGATAAGGTGGACTAGAAAAACAGTCATATTGTAAGAATGACCCTATCGTGCTTCCTTCTTCCTCTCTTGCATGCTCTTCTCTCTTCAATATTTCCCGCCAGTTTTGCCTTCTAACCACAGGGAATGGCAGAGCACCTAGGAAAACCCCAATGCTAAGCAAGCCTCTTTCTTCCCAGCTTCATCAGCTCTCATTTGGAGAAGGAAACAATGTAACAAATTAAAGATCTATGCAAACAGGGATGACCCTTGTACATAACAGATAACCAAAAGAGATGTTTCATTAATATCCTCATTTAAGACCTATCAGCAAGCCAAGGATACACTTTGTGGTTTGGTTTGGTTTGGTTTTGGGTACTGGGGATCAAACTCATGACTTCACACTTGCCAGGGAGGTGCTTATGCCACTGAGCTAAATCCACAGCTCAAGGATACACTGTTTGAAATCAAGAACAGGTGTAGAAGTATCTATTTATTATACCTCCCTTGGTATAACCTTAGGAGTGTATAAAGAGTGGGCTTGAAGTCAATTAATAAAGGGACAACTATGACAAACTTCTGGAGGCACACAAATTAGGTTACACTAAACTACCTGTAAACAAGTTGACCTCAGTCACAAATACTGTGCCTTAGGCTCTGAGATCCTTAGACCTTCTAATATCATATAGTAAAGAACAATGTTCTCTTAGTCATTAAATAGTAATGATTAGCAAATAAAAGAACACAAAGACCCAGCCACAATGAATGAAATTCAATTAATATACCTGTTCATTACCACTGTTACACTGAAATAGTTATTGCCTATTAGTGATAGAGTTAAGTAGAATTTTACTTTCACGCATCAGAAGTCTCTTAAAATTTGGTTGATCAAAGAGATTTATAACCTGCACAGGAACTTCCTGCCTAGAACTGCAGCACAGCCTTGATTTACCACTGCCACCCCACACTGAAGACGCAGCCTCTTCGTCACTGAGGTAGCTTCCACATCTGGATGGCTCTGTTCTGGAAAGCATTCCTGGCGATGCCTGCTGACCAGCAAAGGTGGGCTGCAGCTTAAGCCCTCTTCAGCCTATAGAGAAGGTTCTCCTGGGCTGATGGACGGAGAGATGGACCATGACTGTTAAACACCTTGGTTATAAAGGAGACAGATGTCCTCATAAAGTCCCTTCCCGTTCTAACATTCTTTCCAGTTATCTTTGTGCTCAGTAGATACTGATTCTGTCAACAAATGGTATGACTAGAGGGGTTTTGTTTGTTTTGTTGTTCTATCTTGAGACAGTCTTGCTTTGTGTAGTTCAGGCCAGCCTGACTATGTAACCCAAGCTGGAATTGAATTCGTGACAAGCCTCCTGCCTCAGTCTCCCAAGTGCCAGGATTGCAGGCGTATACCACATCTAGCTAGAGGGGCTTTTTTGACCCTGAAATCTAGTGAGAAGTCCTAGGCTGGTAGGCCTTGTTCCCACAAAAACCTTTACCTCAATACTAACGTCTAAAGTTTATGCTCTATAACCTCTCCTCTAACCAACAAGAAAGTAGAGCCCAATGTTTTAAAGGAAAAATATGGAATCATATTACAATGCTGTCTGGAAAAAAGACCTTGGTGACCATCTGCCCTGATAGCAAATGTGATCAGTGTCACCCAGAAAGGTTAGGTGATTTGATCAAGGCCACAAAGCCAAGGGCCAAGCTACAGCTCCCCAAGTTTCCAGCTCCCTGAACGCTGCTCTTTCAACCTCTCCAGGCTGCCCTGTGAACTCTCCCATGGTAATTAAGTCAAAAGTTCAAGATTTATGTAAGCTGTGAACACTCGCAACTGCAACTGTATTTTTATTGATGCA